CTCCTAAGATCTCGATTGGTCCTTGGTAGTCGAGGACTGTCATTTCTGGAAAGAGACAGACGGCGAGATGGTAGGTCTTGTCAACGGAAAGAGACATGTTACTTTCTGAGTGCTCGTTTCAGACGCGAAGAAGACGGGTTTGAGAGGGAAGTTGATATCGCCAACCTCTGGTCTGCTGTCTTATAAGGGCTTTCGTCAGCTGGATCTCCGGATTGAATAAAATCAGAAGACAAGATGATGCGAAGACAAGATACTCTTGCAATTGAGTACAAGGGACACGCAACTGCGGTTCCTTATTTCTCTTCGGACTCTTCATTTCCGCAGTAGGGCTAAGTACTAAAGAGCGACAGCTGTAGTCATTTGAGTCAAATTCGGCCTCGAAGTGACATTGAGAGTCCTGGGTGTTCCTGAGCTTCTACGCTAGACGAAGTCGGCCGGTTTTGAAGCAGGGATTTACTAAACTTGTCAGTTACGAGCGTTTACTTGAGGTTTATACAGCATTTTGTAAGTCGTTGTAGCTCGCTTGCCTTCACGAAGGACGGTATTTGCAACGATCGAGGTTCCGTTTCAGAGAGTAAGGATATGTTTCGCTCCATGATGCCTTACAAATTGCAGCAACAATGGATGAACGTAGGTCGGACTAGCTGATGGGCTTAGGTAGTATCGCATCTAGGAGTCTCCGGGCCTCCAAGAAGTCATCTACTAGACATTGACGGACTCAACAAGATCTCGAACTGATTTTCTTCCCTCATTGCCCCCTCGAAGGTCGCCGTCAGTCCACGAAGCATCGGAGTGAGAGAGGTATTTGAAACCAATGCAAGCTTGATAGATATTTGCGGTGGGCGAGAAACACATCCTGCTTGGGTTGTACTGTTGTGGAGAAGTCTCCTAGGGTCTCGATTGGTCCTTGATAGTCAAGGACCTTCAGATATGGAAATATACGAAAAGCGAGATGATGCGTCTTGTTGTCATAGCGAGTCGTGAGTAAGGTTGATACAAGGGAGCAAACCATGCTGTGTAAATTGAGAAGACAAGTTCTCATTAAATACAAGGTAAATATATGCAACAACTGCAAGTCAAAGGGTGATATTGAGCGTCCTGGGTGTCTCTCGGATTCTGCGCACGCTGCTGAACGATAGTAAATGTAAATAAACAGACTTCCGGTCCGGTTAGAAAGCAAATTTGGGATTTTTTATCAACTACGTTGCGCTTGACGCGTTTTCTTGGTCGAGGACGCGTTCCTGATCACAAACGCGGAGCACCACGTGAAATTCGCATGACTGAAGAGCAAGCGCCAGCATAGCTTTTCTGGGTCGCTTTTTCCACGCGAAATTTACTGAGTGCTCAGCGCTCAGTTGCTGTGAACCTCTTTCCTGGAGTTGAGTATCCGTACAAGTTCGGCTTAACTGCTACACCAAGATTTCTATGTCCTGTACCAAGGTCTACAACATATTTACTCTCCAAGTGCTTCACTCACATTCCGCGCAACAGGCATTTCACATTTATTCACGACAAATTCGTCATTAGTGAGCTGCGTGTCGGCTAAAGAGGTCGATTGACCATCACTCGAGTATGTCCTAAGCAACTGTTGCTATTCAACTCAAGTTCAATGAAAATCACAGTCTTTTCCTCGAGTAATGCCTACTCTCATACCCCCGTCTTCAAGCCAGAGCGTCAAAGAAGCACCTACTACCGTTTCAAAAGCTACGGGAGTTCATTATTCTTCTCTCGAAAACGCGCTGGCCAATTCCATCTCTTACAATAATGCCCCGGAAAATCTCTACCACGGAATAACCCCCTCAAAAAGGTCCAGCACTAAGCGTTCTAGATCTGAGGTGAATGGACCTGCTAGGAAACGTTTGCGTTACGGAGATGAGGAGGAGGGGCACAAGCCTGGCTCATGGATTCTGATTAAGGTTCCGAACCAGATTCTGATACCGTTGTCCGAGTCAGGGCAGGATATTCAGGTTACTGGAAAGGAAGAACAAGACCAGGTCGAGGATGAGGATCTGATTCGTCTATACGTCGTCGGTCCGACAGGCTATTTTGTACCGCCCCCTCAAACGGCTTCCGATGACCAGCCTTCATTCGCTCAGTATTTGGAATCCGCCTTCTCTGCTCGGAAAGCGAATATTCGTTTCGTGAAGAAGAGAGCTGATGATGTCGCATCTAAATCTCCGTCACAGTCGAAGAAGACCGCTGGAGAAGACGTGGCAATGGCCGAGGATAGTAGTACTATTGGAGACCGTCCAGTTTTTGTTGACGTGGCCACACCAGACAAGTTGAGACCACGTCAAGGATGGCTATCTACAGCTCTACGCAGCTCCAAAAGACGGAGTGGTCCGCGACCTTTCGTCTCTTCAGATTTTTCCCTCCCTCGAATCCGCCCAGGCTGCTTTTTACCTCGAGAGACCGAGTCGGGCTCTGGAGAGGTTGGCGAGTCAGGCGTTGACCTCCCTGCAGTCAGGAATGATGCCGATCTGACCGATTTTTCAGAGGCTGGTGGATACGACGAAAACACGGAAGATGTAGACGCAGATATCAATCCTACCCCTGCCGTGCCCGTTCCTGCTGCACAAGTCGAGATCGCCGTTCTAGACGACAAGGGGGACGATACCGATGATGCGGATGCTCGGGTCGATCAGCTGATTGAGGACGAGAATCATCAAGAGCAGCCAGCGCCATCGGTCTTATCTGAAGCGACTGCTTCGTCTAGGCCAAAACGCACTCCACGCAAACCCACACACCAGGTGACACCCTTGACGGCTTCAACGTCGATTTCTAGTTCAGCAACGCGAACCTCAGCTAGGCGAATTGCGACAGCAAAGCCCTCCTCTCCGGCCAAACCGACCACTCCGAAAACGAAACCCAAGTCTAAGACGACTGCGGTGAGATCTTCGGGGAGGACACGTTCGACCAAGACTACAGTGGAGGAACCGCCTGATGCGCCGAATGATATCCAGGGAACCGTGGAGAAGGAAGGGCTGATACAGGATAGTACAGGAATAGATGAACAGGGGGAGTCGTCCAAGTCGACGAGCGGTCGCGCTGGGAAAGCAAAAAAAGCAGAAGTGAATGAAAAAGAGGCAATGGATCAAGAAGGTGCTTCGCAGGAAATAGTTTCTTCAGCGAATGGGTCTGCACGAAAAGCCACCGCGAAGGGAAAGGGTAAAGGAAAGCAGAAAAAGGCGCAACCCGAATCTGCGTCGCTTACCCCAGACTCTACAAAACCTGAAACCGTAGCAGCTTCGTCGAGTATTGGGATTTCCCCAACTGTCCCGTCGACATCTAACCATTTTGGACAGCTTTCACTCAACCCTCCCTCTCATCCTTCGACGTCTACTCCTTCCACCTCATTCTCTCCGACTGATCCTTCTGTCTTCACCTCCGCTTCATTATCAGCTCCGACCACCACGTCGACTGCTCTTGTACCTCAAACGTACCGTCCCATTGATCCCAACCTTCCATTGCCGGTCCAATTTCAACAGTCGGCTCCTGTCATCGCCGCCCTTCCCCCCGCCATGCAATCCTATCTGCTCATGGCGCTTCTGCATGGTACAGGACATCTACCGCCTGCTTTTCTCTCCCCAGGCGCGAATGCTGCAGGTTCTGCAGGCGCGGGAGCACCAGCACCAAGTAACAATCCGCATACTGCGCCATCTCGAGGAGCTCATGGATTTGGCGCTCCTGGCCCATTGCTTTCTTCTGCCTCAGCTCCGCCTTCTCCGTCTCCTCCTACCTCTTCCCAATACCAGCGCAAGCCTTATTCCTACTCTGGTTATCCACCTCCGCAAGTTCCTACCCGTGTTGACCCCCCTCCTCCTCCTTCTCAATCTACAACGTCGTACCTCTACCGCGGTTCCCCTGCTGCGCCAGCTCCTACACATGTAGACAGCCATCCTATTCCTTCTCAATCTACGGCGACGTACCTGCACCTGGCCCCCCCTGGTGTTTCAATTACAACCACTGCCGCTGGCGCAAGCCCCGTTAGCTTCCAAACTGTAGCGTCAATAGTGCCGTCGAGTTCGCAAGTTCCTGGGGCGGAATCCATCTCGTCAGCGGTTCCGGTCAACGGCCAGGGGAGAGCGCACGGACAGCGGTCGTCGACGACGACGATGACGAGTACCACCACCACTGCCAAGGCAAAGAAGCCGCCAAAAAGCAAAAAGTTAACCGATAACGCTGCGGCGAAACATGCAAATGCTGGTGCTTCCGCTTCTTCGACCGCGACGGGTAACGATGCCGTTAATGGGAAACGCAAAGGGCCGATTGTCAAATTGGGTACTGGAAGGAAGGATCTCTCTAATGGAGAGCCTTTACCACCTACCGCGTCTGGTTCTGCACCAGCGGCCGGCGAAGTTGAAGGAGGAGGAGGCGGCGAAGTTCCTTACGGTGCGACTCTTCAAACATTAGTTAACGGAGCCGAGGATGCAGATGGAGAAGCTGATGCTGACGCGGAAGGTGAAGTTGATCTGGACATTTACGCACCGTATGTGGTGGATATTAATAGCGGAGTTTATGGTCCCATCTGAGCGTATGCACCTATGAGCAACTCATAGGAAGGGAGGAAGGAAGAACGAGGCTCGTCTACAAGTATAGTACGTGAATAAAAAGGAGTCTAAGCGGAAGTGAAGTGAAATGCTCTGTATTCGTTTTTCTTTTCTCGGGGGGGTTTTTTTTTTTGTTATCTTTTCAATTGCTATCCCAGTTCTCAATTCATCTCTACTCTACTCAATGCTACCGTGACCCTACTCCACTCGGCTATGTTTTTTTTTTTTCGTTATCTCTGCAATTGCTATCCCAACTCCCATTCATCTCAACTCTGCTAAACGCTACCCTATTCTATCTGACTCAATGACACTCAGTTTTTTTCTTTTTGGCCAAAAATCTGCTTGCTTCGCTTAACGTTTTTGCTATCCTTGTATAATACACCTCAGCTTCATTGATTGCTATTTTCTGCGACGGCGGAGAAAAAAAGCAATTCTAACCAATTCCTCCCATGACGAGAGTGGGATTCGAACCCACGCCACGAATGACTAGATAGATCAGGACCATTAGGCAACCTGATTCTAGCGCCTTAGACCGCTCGGCCATCTCGCCCTACAACTTTAGCCATATGACTCAGTATCAATCGATACTCGACAGTAGATCACCAATTGCATACTTCCATGCACGCCTACTGTACGTCTACTGGCGTTGAACCCAGTCATTAAACTCGCTAGATATGTAAAACAATATGTACCTGGCGTTGAAACCAGTCTTTCTCTCCGCCTTCATCTACTCTAAACGAGAATCCCTTCCTCCACCCATGATTTTCCGAGCAAAATTTTGAATGATCTACTAATGATCTACTGCTCTTTCTTCGTTTCAGCATTTCCCTTGGCCCTCGCTGCCTCCCGCGCAGAGTATATCATGTCCGTGAATGGTCTACGAAGGAGCATTAGCCACGTGGCAAACAAGGAAACCTATGAGCAAGAGCTGCGTACCCTTCATACCGTAAAGCAATGACATATACAATATACACATAGAGCGTAATCAATAGTCCTGCAGGACGCTCGTACCTACGCGAATAAGAAAATCGTGTCAAGGGTTGTGTCCGTTAAAAGAACAGAAACAGTTACAAACCAGAGCGCGCCAGCAGTAAAGCACATCGTACTCCCTACATACATAGGGTCCCGAAGCACATTGAACGGGAATCTAAATTGCAAGAGTCAGTTGACAGTCTCTGCAGTTCGCTTTCTTTTACTCACCCTTCGACTTTGGAATCCATCAGAATACCAAAGTAGTCACCCAAAAATGTCCCGGTTATGCCCAACTGCCACGTTGAAGTGAGCACCAATATCTGACCGACAATGGCCAATGTAGCTGCGACGATGGTGTTCAGGGGCTGAGGTAAGAGGGCTTTTTGGGGCTGGTCGTTTAGTGCACGCGTGTATCTGAGTTGAGAAAAGTTGAGAAATGACACAAAGTCAACGGAGCATCGCTCACAAAGAGTCTCTTATCATCCCGAACGAGAAGATTGCGATTGCTAGGAAGTAGCATCCCATTCGCGCGTTTCCTCCGAAAATCCTTCGTGTCATGGTTCGGTTCCGGTATTCTGAGCATGGCAAAGATACGAAGGATACAAAAACGAGAGAATGAAAGTCATTGACGCGTCAGAACGTACGCAGTATAGAGAACAACATGGAAAAGAAATTGTCAGTAAACTGACAAGTCCACAACGGAGTTTTCACATGGTCCTCCGCTGTTCCGCCGGGAAAAAAAATGTCATACTCACCATTTCTAGCAATAATATTCCAAGCAGTCGGGTTGAACGTGATTGAGGCCAGTGAAATCCATAAAGAACGCTTAGACGCGTCAATAGGTATCAGGCTCTGGAACTGAGATACGAGAGAATCCATTTAGCGTGAACGAGTCGTCAAAATCGTTTAGCGTAGTGTTGTACACGGTAAGGCTTCGGAAAAAGTCAAGTCTACGAGCTGGGCGCTGTTGAGCCTCAAACCGTTGAGTGAAAGAGAACAAGTGGAAAAAAACGCGGACTCCATGTGTGACGTGGCCCGGAGCTCGGTCCGAATTGGATAGCCTAAAATAGCAAAGGCAAAGCTAAATATATCATACTCAGTCTTTGCGTCGAGAAACAAGTTGCGGACATTAGCCTGCAGTACGGCAAATTTAAGTACAGAAGTGGATAGTGTTTTAGGATGAACAAAGCAACGAGCCCTAGGTCAGTTTGCTTGTTACATCTCGACCTCCTGCAACTGATACCCGCTTTCCGGATTCAACTTTGGTAGCAAGTGTTCTCGCCATGTATTTCAACTTCAGCCACTCATATGTAGTAAGTTGAACACACCTTGGATGTGTCTTGACCCAAATTCTCACAGGCCGAAAGAAAAAAGGTTTGAGGCTAATTTGTAGAGAACCTTCGGGTATTGATGCTGCATGAGGCTCACAAGAGAATTTATAGCTGCATACTACATGGTCCACAATAAGTATAGTGCTCTCTACATGTAACATACCGATGTTTGTTGAGACTAATATGCATCCTGCACATTCAATGGAAGGGGATATGGGCAGGAACCTGAATAATGTGGCAGGAAATCTGGACATCTCTGTCAGATCAGGATGCATTTGGTGGCCTGATTGAATAGTTCCCCTTGACTGTTCCCTCCTTTTTTTTTATTGTACTTGACTATACCTTCCCCTTTGATTCTCCCCCTCCCACTCTTTCTTAAAAATTTCACCCTGTTCTATTTTTTAGCTACTTTCTCTGTTCGTAACTTAACCCATGCTGCTGGCACTAGTGGGCCAACGCTAATGTATGGCGGTACTCATACCTTTCAAGTAATGTTGAAACAAATTGTAAATGCAACCTCGGCTATGTAAAATTCAAGGCAAACTAACTAAAATTGTATAAATTGCGAGGGTTAGACCAATTCAACCTGCCTGTGCTCGGCCAAGTTTTTTTAGTGCCTTCTAGCCTCATTGCGTGTGCATTTACCAATATCTCCGTGTAAATCTCATCTTCCTTGTGCAACTGTTCCTTTTCATCGTCCACTGGTCTCTTTTCTTGATGATGGCTTATACCAGTTAACGACACAGAAGGTGTTAGCTATGTCAACCTTTACATATGCAGGGGAGACCGAGCGTCCGTTGCATTGCATCAGTATGCGAGGCCCATAATTGATCTTGAACTCGTAGTAATTGCCCCCGATCGATGGCGGCGGGTCACTCTCACAAGTACGTACTCTATGATATTTATTCACATACCTTTAAGAACATCATATAACATTTGTTCCCATGCAAGTAAGGTTTGGGGCGCTTCAGAATCGCGAGTGAAGGAGACATACTAAGTATTATGAGGTCCGGCTTTTGTGGTATCGTGTTAATCAAAGTGCTCGAAGAATAAATTTATCCCAAGCAGAAGAATATTGGGTTAATTCACTTTCATTCCTGAAGCCAAACCGCTTTGACACCGCTGGAGATGTTTAGTCATAGTGCTAAATTTTCAGGCCAGACTTACACGCCACTTACAGCTTCATTCCAGCTCCACCCCGTATAAGTGATTCCAGCTCGAATGAGGATAATTACTGAATATCCATTCATTCCCGTACTAATACATGCAAGGCCGGAGGCTGAATGACTCGGCAATGAGCCGTGGAAATCGATGTGTCATATGTATGTGAGACGTCAACACGAATGCGTGTCATCACCATTAAGGGAAGGGTGGGGAAATAGAACTAGGCTTTGTCTTGATAAGAATGTACGCCAGAAGTTATTCAAAAATCACCTATTGAAGCACAGGGGAACTACAGGCTGCTGGAGCTCTTTGACTCCACCGTAAGAAAGTACTTCCATTCTTGACAAGCATACTTGGCTGTCCAGTTGTTCTGCTTTCTTACAGAGCACTCACTATATGTGTTCATATTGCAAATCTGTAATGAGCCTTCAATTGTCTACCAGGTTTGCCTACCAGGCTGCCACTGCAGAACCCAGGCTCGACATTGTTCTCTTCACCAGTGACAGTATGAATAGATGTGCATATATTCACATTTAGATATTTAGAAACACAATTACTTAAAATCCTATTCTCACATCCTCAAGATACATACGATGTCAGTTTCAACTTCTAAATTTTTCATGTACTGTAATTTTGCACATACCAAGTACACCGACATTCAAATTCGGGCGACAGAGCTCAGCTATCTTAGTGTCGTTGCCTCATCATTAGACAGCTTGGAAAGGGTTTCGCTAGTCATAGCCTCTATTATCGGGCCTCGATTTCCGCAGTATTGTGCTATTGAAATTGTAATTAAATCCTCCAAAGACTTGGGTCCAAAAAGAAAGATAGACCTGACCCAAACCCAAAAGAAGTTGGCTAGAAGTGTTTCTACCAGTGGGAAATTGGTCTCCTACTAAGTATCTCCTTCAAGGATATTTTGATCTGCATTGCAATTGCTGAAGAGGAAGGGGGAGTGTTACTTAGTCAAGATTGGGATCAATAGCCAGATACCAGATACAAAGAGTCCATGAAAGGAACAACTAGAAATGACTGTAAGGGATTGCCTTCTTCCATGGCAGTGACTGTCAGACTGATAGATAGATTTATGCTAACCGACTTGATGTTGGGATGCTCTTCTTGATATGATTGAATACTGCACTATTTCAAATGGAATTACAGTCATATATATGGGGGTCTCTGAGCATTTTAGGCAATAAAATGCTCAATGTTGAGGTGGGATGGATTGCTGCTGCTTGCTATTCTTTGGAAATGTGAATACCTTTCATGTGATAGATCAAGTATTAGGCTATTTTTGGTTAATTTGAGGACTGGCTCCCAGCAAAGATGCCATTTTGCATCAGAAACTGAGAGTCTGTCTGACATCCAGACTAGCGCTTATGATGAACTGAACTAAATTTGAATGCATCATGCATTGGCAGTGGCAGCCTCAAACATATAATCTGAACCTGACCATGTGTCATGCATCATAGTGGATAAACTGGCATTTGAAATAGTACAGTAATAGCAATGTGCTACTATGGAACCCAAGACCTGTCTTCAAACGGCATAAAGAGATACTTAGTACCGTAGATGTCTATTGAGCTCTAGTGACTTAGTGCGAGTATGCCCTTATCTGGAGCTAGCCCACATCTGGAAAATGCAGATACTTTTGAAATCCCACTCTCAAGCCCCTACACATTCTTTAGTTACAGCAGTTGCTGTCACCTGCCTACCTGGTGACTACAAAAGAAACTTTATTACCAGATGTCGGACATTATCTGACAACATTTCCGAACATACTTTATCTATTTAATGGCCTAGTACTGTCTATTTAAGTCTGGCTACTGTTGGGCCACCGAATAAAAAACCTTACACTTGATTGGTTGAAAATAACAAATGAAATAACATCATGACATCAGTTTATCTACTTTTTCATCTACTTCCTCTCTTCACAAATATTCATCTAGCCCTACTCCCACCACTGTACCATGTCCTCATCTTCCAAATTAGTGATCTGATGGTTCTGGCCAGTACCAGGCTCCTTGCTCCTATACCTCTGCTTGCATTTGCAACTCCATCTGGCACCTGTGTTGTTATTGAG